ATATGTTGAAAAAAATGTATACATAATAACAGGAAATTTGATACCTAACTGTGACTAGGTAATGGGTATTGAAAATAAGATCAATAATTTATAATATACTTAGTATAGTATTACAATAATTAATTAGAATTACAACRACTGTGTTTAAAATTACATCAATAATAGAATAACGTGTTCACATCAAGCAATCTTATTGCTATTCAAGAATTAAAAATAAAACAAATTCAGAATTCAATTCATCACAGATAACATGTTTTCAAATCTTAGAACCTTTGAGGAGCGATACATGCGTTTAAATTTAACTGTACCTATATATTTTAAATATATAAATGTATGGATGTTTGTAGGGAAATACTATTATTCCAATTAAATTATCCAGTAATTTAACGTCTGCGTGAAGATTTTATGAGTTGTAACGCCTTTTGCATCAAAGGAGCTTTTTTCTTTTTCACTGAAATCATAAAAAAAAAAATTAACATACATTTTTTCAGATTTATTTTAGATATAACATCTATCGTTATGACTTAGAGAAAGGCAAATAAATCTTATCTTCGTCAATTATTCAAAAAACACGGCAAATTTGCTTTTAAACATTTTTTTTATTATTGTTTAATGTATAATTTAAATATCAATCAGTTACGTTTTAAATCAGAATAGTAAGTATCATTGTTGTTTGGTGAAAATTTATAGTTTTTAGAGTTGAAATTAAATTCTATCTTGATCTGCAAGTAGAGAAATCTATTTAGGAGTCAGGAGATTTGTAAAAACAAATGCCATTGATTCCTGTGAACTGTGATTTGTTAACCGGAATAACTATAATACAATATTTCTACATGTCTCGCTGAGACAATTCATACTCCAACTATATTTAATATAATATGTGGCAGGAGTACACAAATGTCGAGAATAATGAATAATCGCATTCATTAAAATATATTTGAATACGAATAGAGGTCTCAAGGAAAAAAAAACAATCAACAATCAACGTCTTGAAACGGAAGAAATAATATAAATATAATATTTTATTTCCATACTAGCACTGGACGACGTATGTGGAGAAGTCATGGCGATTGGTACACCGGTAGCCATGGCAGTGGATCTGTTATTGGCGGACATAGCTTCTGCAGTTGAATGTTCTCCCATCATCGATTTGTTTAAGATATTACGCTTTATGTCTGAGGAAGCTGTTTGGAATTTCGCCTGTCACGGATAATAAAAACGTACAAGAGGGTTAAGACCAACAACGTCACAAAAAAACAAACAATTATGTTCTAAATTAATTAATTTACCTGTTTTTTAGCAATGCCACGAGGTGGTTTTACGGCAGAGTCTACGTAGGCTAGTTGCGTTTTTCTTACAGGCGTGGATGCAGCTTGATTTGCGTTTATATTCTGCCGTAATTTGGCCAATTTTGTTTCACGTTCTTCTAGACAACGCTAAAAATCAAATAAGTACATGATCAAATACACAGTAGGCCCAGTAGGGTGAACTCAATTAMTTAACGGTTTCCCATACAAATAATATCATATTTTAATTTAAAAATTATGTATCATATTATAATCATCTTGTTAAGCGTTAAATTTTAGAAATCGTTCCTAGTTTATTTAACAAGGGATATTTTTATGTTTAAGTTTTATATTACAAATTGATAAAAAACAAAAGTATGTATGAATTTAAATTACAGTAATAAATAATATGAATGCGTTAAAATTTAAAATTTAATAAAACATAATTTGATACATGTAGGAAAACAAATGTTATTATGTGAAAATGTTTTTGATAAATAATTAATTACTATATAAAAATTTCTCCATGATTCATTTTTATCTGGAACTTTATTACGAAATTCTTTATTGCAATGGTACTCCCATAATCCTCCAGTATCTTCAATCAAATAGTAATTGTATTGTTCTAAGTTATACAGTTGATCAGGGCTAGCGTGTTTTAATATTGGCTCAAGTATACTAAACGGAACTCCACCAGTATATTCCAGAGCTAAACATTTTGAAAGATTTATAATAAATACATGTCTCCAATTTATAAGTATAATAAAATAATATAATTGTGTACACAATAAACAAAATATATTTACCATCTAAATTGTCCTTAATAGTTTGGATACAGAAATCAACTAATTTAGGAACTTCAGTGTAGATTGTACTCTTATTTCCAGAGTACACTTTTGTCCTGTAAAATATTAGACCTTAGAAATAAAAATGACTACAAACTAATATATTTATACAATTAAATACCTTATATTTTTWGTTGTCATTATTTTAGCTAAAGGATCTAGATCCTCCGTCATTTTTTTCTTCTTTACATCTAATTGAGATAACGGTTTATAGTTAGCAATTAATTCTTCTGGATCTAAATTAAATGGTGCCAATGGACTCTAGAATTAGGTATATAATAATGATTAACGTGGTAAATTTTAAACATGAAAAGTTTGTTCAAAWTTTAACTGACTGTTGGCATAGAACTAAAATCCYGCTCTGAAGACCTTGATCTGTCTCTATGCTTGGATTTTGTTTGTTTCTTTTTGACTGGTATTTCTATACCAAGTAAAGCTTCTTCAAAAGTTTTGCCTGAATAACATTATTTAATAAGTAATTAAAGAATAATTAACTGGTATATAACAATAAAGTCTGGATTTATATTCTTTAAAACACCCAAAATATGATACTAATATTCAGTAAAAACCCTACAAATATCTTCTTATACTATCTTAAAAATTAGAAAAATATGCAAAAATAGTCAATAAATCTYATTATATATACACTTAAATAAGTTAAATATGAAATTTTTATTATTATTTTTATTTTTACAATAGGTATACACTTGCATAATGGAATAATGTATTTGGACATAGTAACAGTTAAAATAGTCTTTTGCGTTAGATAGTTTTATCCATTGTTTTAAGAGATGTTTAAAATTAATGGAGTTAATCATTTTAAAAACTTAAAAACATGAAATCGCAAACCTAAAATATATTTAGACTAAAATATTTTTTCTGGTACAGTAATAGTAAAATTAATAAAAATAATTTTTAAAATAAGATAAATTAGTATTTTTTTCTCATTATTTACAAAGTATGCCAAAATATGCTAAATAATATATATCTTCCTTAAACTATGAAATATTCTTGAATATGCAAAAAAAAACTTCTTCCAATAAACTCATGTTGAATAAATCGTCTACATTTTTTATTCTCGTAAGACTGAATAAACTCAATAACGATGATATATAAAAACATGTATAAATCCAGACCTTATATATAACTTTATAAGGTCCTAAACTTACTACTACTAGTTGAAGGCTTTAATTCTTCTTTGACTTTATCCTTAATATTTTTTTTTGAATCACTTTTATCCTTATGACCAGACTTAGATTCGTTTTTGCCCTTATGAGAGTGAGTTCTAGATTCAGATTTATGAGACGATTTATGCTTATCTTTTTTTTTGTCTGAATGTGAACTTTTTTTCTCTTTCTTAGTACTTTCTTCATAACCATTTTTATTTTTTCTATGAGAAGTTGTTGCAACGTTTTGTGAAATTTCATCTATTTCTGGTTCTKTTTTAATTTTGACACTTTCATACTTATTATCTTTTTTTACTTTTTTTGAAACATGTCCATCTCCTTGATCATCTGTTGAAGTAGAATAAGATTCTTTTCGTTTTTTACTGCTCTTATCTTTTTTATTTTTTTTATGCTTTGATTTTTCATGATATCTTTGGTGAGAAGATTCATGGTCACTTAAATCATCGTTACTCTTATTGATTATTTCTGACTCGTTGATAAATTCTTCATTATCTTTTGGTGATGATACATCATGATGTTCTTCATCAGAGTTATCATCTCTTTGATAGAAATTTTCGGTTTCCTCAATTTTTACTACATTTTTCCATTGAATAACTAAAGTTTTGGCTGATTCCCCAATAATGCCATCATATTTTCTTAAGTTGTTGACTACTCGACCAATTCCAGTGGTTTGTAAATTTTGAACAGTGATAGGAAGTCGAGAAAGCTTAGTTATACAATTCATTATCTGAAAATACAAACAATAGTATTTATTAGGTTCCAATTAACTATACATTTTTTTTTTATAACAACATAATTATTTTTATTTATATTTTTAAATAAAATCTGTAACGATTAAATCTTAATCATTGATTACAAATAATAGCAAATACTATAACCAACTTTAATATTAATAGATTTAATACTGATAATTTCTCAATGTACATGTATTAAATTAATTATWAATACTATACGAAGAAACAAAGAAATACAGTGTTTGAACGCTTGTTCAAGAACGTATTTTGTGAACAACACATGAACACTACTCAATTACATTAAATAGAACGAAAACAAAACTCCTATTTTTAAAGACTAAGAAGACTTTTAGGTTGTTCAAATGAAATTCTTTTTCCTAAATTAATTTTTTAGGTTATAATCATGTTACTTATTTCATTAAAATTTTAAATTGCTATACAATAGATATTTTAGTTTTTTTGAAATGTTTATAATTATTTAAAAATATGTAGAAACCAGTTAACGAATGACAGTCGAATGTATTAATAAAGACTAGTGAATTTGAAATTAAATGTAATAATTATTCATCAACATGCATTTTTTCTTTTATTGAAGATGCTTCATGAATTTACTATAGTATATTATGAAATKAATGTAGATATATAATCAATTCAAATAAGTATAAACTCATAAATTATAGGTAATTAAATAAATATTTGGTTAAATTTTTTTTTACATTTTAAAACTAGGTAATGTAGAATTTATATTTAATCGAAGACTAAATATATTATATTTTTTTTATGAAATTAAGGTTCAAGAATAAAAAAAAAATGGTTAGCGCAATTTAAAAATATTTTTTTGAGCAATAATGCAATCAATTTTAAAAGCTGTTCAATGCAATAAAGCTCAAGTTRTATGAATGAACTATTCAACTATTTATCAAAAGTGGACAATTTTGACTGTTTTTTAAATTCTAATATTTTAACTTATTTTTCAGAAATTTAAATTGAAGTGTGTAATAGATGATATAATATATAGTAATATTTTTTTGAAATATTAAAATATAATTTGTAAATTATATTCTTTAACATATTTTTTTTAATGAGACAAATTTGTACATTGAATTAAGCTGTTGTAATTACCAAAACAAAATAGTCATTGGAATGTAAAAAATACAAAAAATATTGTTATTAACACGTTGACTGCCATGCGACCTCCGGCGTCCGTATAATAATAATTAGGTATAGATAATTTTTAGACTGCCGGCTGCTGCACAATATCATTTGTAGGAGGCAGGCTGCCATAAATTAATTTGAATTTCCGTGGCACTACAATAATGATCTTGAAAATATGCTGTGGCGTAGTGGGAATAATTG